AAAAAGGGCCAGCGAGCTTTAGCTGCGGTCTCAAGGCCCGGAGATACCACACAGCGGTCCTTGCGGAACCGCAGAGCGACTGCATGCTGATCTTCGGCGGGATGGTGCGGGCCTTGGCTTGAGGGTTCAAAAATGTAGTCTTCCTGCTCCAATCTTAAACCGGAGGGTGAGAAGTCAAGTGATTTGAGGAGCCTGCACAGAATCAGTTGTGGGTGTTCCGGTTTTGCCCTTCTCTCCCGTTCCCCGGATCGCCTCTTATGGCTGAGGGTCAAGTTCAGGGCTTAGACATGTTGGTGTGACAGAAGATGTCCGGCAGTGACATCGCTAGAGCACGCACGTGTCTGTCTGTAAACGGCAACACACGGCGAAAGCAAGCAACTCCAGCCAAAGCTGGCGACTCTCAAGGATGCGGTGCCTTCCAGGCTTAGGGGGGTCTCTTAGAACTGCAACATCCTAGTCGCCGTCTCGCAGCTGCGGAGTGGAGCAGGTTGAATACCGGACCCTGAACCCTAAACCCGAAACCCTAAACCCTACACCCTACACCCTAAACCCTAAACCCTAAACCCTAAACCCTAAACCCTAGTTGTGCTTCTTCGTTTTCTGCTTGCAGCTTGCCAGGACTTCAATTCTGCGGTGAGGAACGACTTGCACTGCTACAATGTGAACGCGCCTGGGCTTCCGGCTTCGCTCGCGGGGTGCTCCTGAGGTTCAGGGAACCCTAAACCCTAAACCCTAAACCCTAAACCCCAAACCCCAAACCCTAAACCCTAAACCCTAAACCCTAAACCCGTGTTTCCATTGGCGAGTGCGGAGCTTCGGCTCGAATCGGATCTTCCAGGACACGTCGGAATATATTCAACATCCCCTCCCTCAAAAGAAACCCTAAACCCTAAACCCTAAACCCTAAACCCTAGACCTTAAACGACGCGACGAGTTTCGGGTTTAGGGCGTTTAGGGTTTGCCCCATGCGGAGTTCCCAGCTTCAGCCTCTGCCGAGTAGGCTTCGTTCGGGCCCCAGGTACAACGCGTTCTGTAAGCGCATAGGCCCCGACTTCACCATAAACATGCCCCTCAGAAAGCGAATGCGCCCCAAGAGACACCCAGGCGCAGACCAGGGCAACCCTGAGCCCTCCAAGCGGCAGCACCCCTGCAGCCCGGGAGCTCCACACCGCGGCCGCTCGGAACGGGGAGCTCTGGAGGGCTCTTCAGCCGGAAGCCCCTGAGCCGCCCCCCCCCCCCCCCCCCCCAGCAGTTTAGGAGCGGGATCCTTGCACCTAAAGCACACTTTTGTTGGCATCAGCCCTGAGTTTCGCAATCTTAGGGTATATGGTCCACGCTGGAGTCCACACATGGCTCCGCTTGCTTTGATGGTTAAGGTCTGGCACACCCAGTCCTCTTGCATGTACATCTACGGCGGCTGGGATGGCGGCAACTATCTGTCGGATCTCTGGTGCTACAATCCCACGGCCGGGAATCCTCAACTCCCCCAAAAGAATGCTGGGGGACAAAGAGTTCAGGGAATTTGTTGGGGCGGCTGGAGGGGGGGGGTCGACGAGGTTCAGAGGTGCCTAGACATATCCCATGTTCTTGCCATGCAGGTTTCGAGCGTTTCAAGGTCAGAACTCGGCGTGCGCGTCTGTTCAGACATCCAAAGCACGTCTGCGAAAATACGCTTAACCATTGTTGGGATTGTTGCAGCTCACTAGGCCGGAATGCGGGTCCTACTTGACGTTTTGAGGAGAGCACTGCAATGATTTCATTCCAAAGGAATCTTTCTTTTCTCAGACGTCCAGTCATGCCTTCAAGAGGAGCAAGGGCAAAGAAGCAGTGTACATTTTAGCCCGGAGCGAGGGGCACAATTTCACCAAGAATCCTAGGTAGGATAAGGGGGACCCTTAAAAAAGAAACCCCTTCTTAACCTTCTTCTGGCTCTCTTAAACTGGGACCTTATTCAGAGGGTTTATATCCCCAAACTTCCCCCTAATCCTATCCCCTAAAGGACAGCCCTCCTTGGGGACCTCAAACAGCTTTTACCCTTTCTGCACAATCTGGAAGTCGCAGATCGGCCCTGGTACCCAAGCACTCTCCCATGTGCAGACCATGGTGTACACCAGCTTGCTGGCGAACACTGGCAACGGGCCACTTGCTCTGGGACTTGCCGGTTTAGGGTTTAGGGTTTAGGGTTTGGGGTTTAGGGTTGAGGGGTTTAGGGTTGAAGGGTTTAGGGTTGAAGGGTTTAGGGTTTAGGGTAACTGGTTTTCCGGTTCCTTGGACTCGGGCTCGGAGGGTTCTGAAGCAGCCTTCGAAGGTCCTTTGCGTGTTGAGTGGGGGGAATGGTGGGGTAAGATAGGGGCAATATCATTCCCCTCGGGTCCCTCTTTATGATCTTTAGGATTATTCGATAATGGCCCCCAAGATCCTATTCTAATCATACAGGCCCCTGTGTTGCAGGAGTTTTGGGGGGTTGGTAAGCATGGTAAGACACATGCAGAGCGTCGACCTCCGCTGGTTTTAGGTGTACCCTGGACCCTAAACCTTAAACCCTAGACCCTAAACCCTAAACCCTAAACCCTAAACCCTAAACCCTAAACCCTAAACCCTAAACCCTAGACCCTAAATTCACCTGAGCATCCTTGGTGCGGCGTAGGTGAGCTCCATGAAGTGGCAACGTCAAGCGACAAGCAAGGTGCGGCTGAACGCCGCAGACCCCCCAACCAGAACGTGAAAGACCAACCACAAACAGGGTTTAGGGTTCAGGGTTTAGGCTTTAGGGTTTAGGGTTAGGGTTTAGGGTTTAGGGTTTAGAAGCCTACAGCCAACGATCCTGCTCATCTCCAATATGTGCTTCCGTGCAGTCTTCGACCTGCAGCACAGATGTCTTCATGCATATATATGTACACATCTTTTTATTACATATATGGTGTTTGCGCCCAATGCACATTCTGAGAGCATGAGCTGGTGAACTTTCAACAGGAATTTTGGTTCAAACGACGAACGCAAGACCGCGAGAGAATCTGGTCGCCTGCAGCACGTATCTCATCCACGACACGAGAGAGCGACGGGTCTGAGAGTCCAAGGGGCTTCCTTGGAGGGATCTGACAGCTGCCTTAATGCAAGTTCAGGTTTTTTTTGTCGTCTTGAAGCCGCAAGTTGTAACTGCCCAGGGTCAGCATGCACTCGGCAGTGATGCCGCTTGGCGAAGTTAGCGCCAGGTTGAGACTAGGCCGCTCCCCAGTCTGGGGTTCAGGTCTTGCCTTAAACCCTAAATTTCAGGCCTAGCGGCACGGGCCGGCCCCCGCCCCCCAAAGCACGAAACCTTGAACCTTGGCACTGTCTTCTCTTTCCCGTGTCTTTGTCCTCTCCTTCTCTCTGTCTCTCTTTCTCCTGCCTTCGCCCCCCCCCCCCCCCCCCCCCCCCCCCCCCCCCCCCCCCCCCCCCCCCCCCCGCGCGCGCGCGCGCGCGCGCGCGCGCATCAGGAGCATCAGTGGGGTTGGTTTGGGGGCCTTAAAAGCATTCTATGCATGCGTTTTGCCTTCGAAAAACCTTCAGAAAACGCTGTAAACACGTGTTTTTGGGCTTGGGAAGCCTTTTGGGACCCAGGAAAGGGAGCATCATGAGCATCAGCGGCCTCCCCCAGGCCATCCAAAACCCCCTTAAACACGCCGATTGTATGTGCTTGAACGCTTGCGTGCCCACGAAACCCCCAAAAGCAAGACCCCGAATGCCCTTAAGGGCATTCGGGGTCCTGCTGTTCGGGTGTTTTGTAGGCACGAAGCCGTTCGAGCGCGTAAAATGAGCGATTTTAGGGGCGTTTTTACGTGGACCCACAAAACACTCGGTATTTACGAGGTTTTCTGCTGTTGGAACACCCCCCCAAACCGAGCATCATGAGCATCAGCTGGGTCTCTGGGCCGTGGGCCCGGACCCCCACGAAGCCCATGAGAAACGATGGCTGGATGATGCGCCCGGACCCCGCGCATCAGCAGCATCAGCAGACCCCCCCCCGGATGTGGGTTTCGATGATGCGCACTTTGGGGGCGGGTCAAGGGCAACAAGGGTGGGGGTCGGAGGCATGCGTGAAAAACCTCATAAAAACACGGTATTTACGGTGATTTCAGCGTTTTTCAGCGTTTGTTACTGCCTTGGGGCCGCGGGCCAGGGCTGCTGATGCTCATGATGCTCGCCTGGTTTTGGGCTTCCGGTACCCCCCCCAAATCTTGAAAAACGTGGTTTCGGCCTGGCGTGCGCCCCATGTGAAAAGCTAGGGTCGATGATGCGCGCCCGTGAGGGTTTAATGGGGTGCTGCGGGTGTTTTGTGGCCTCGGTTTTTCGTAAAAAAACCATGGTTTTTACGTGGTTTTCGTGCTTTTCGCACCACCGCGTGTTGCGTCCCCTTGGATGCCGTTTTGGAGGCCTCCCGAAGGGCCCCGCGCGAATTTGAAGCAATTTTGGGCGGGGTCGGCGGCTCGGGCGCTCGCCCCGTAAAGCTAGCGCTTTAGTGCGACGCGGGCTCCGCCCTGGACCACGGGCGGCGCGGGGGCCGGATTTAAGAGCCTCCGGCTCAAGCCGCCGACCCCGCTGGAGCATAGTTGAAAGGTTTAAACGCGTTCGTTACGTCAAAGGATGCCAAAGTTGGTGGGGGGGGGGGGTAGGGGGGGGGGGGTGGGGGGGGGGGGTAGGGGGGGGGTGGGGGCAGTGAGGGGCAGGGGGGGGTTAGTATGGTTTTTGCCAAGGGCCATATGGTCCGTGAGTTTATGCGGGTGGTTTGGCCCTCCATGGAAAAGCCTGCCCGGGGACCCCCCCCTACCCCCCTTCCGCCGCGTTCGGGGGGCGTAAGGAGGGAAAGAGGGAGGTTTTCACCTCCTTTTCCCATCCAACACGCCGCCAGGGTCGGCAGACCCTAAACCCTAAACCCTAAACCCTAAACCCTAAACCCTAAACCCTAAACCCTAAAGCCTAAACCCTGAGGCCATGCTAGTCAGGTGTGGCTAGTTTCAGCCATGGCAGTGGAGGTTGGCAGGCGTAGAAGGCATCTCCACAAGCTGGAGATGTGGCAAGAAGGACATTCGGGGCAGCCCAAAAACCCCCAAGGCACTTATGGGTTTAGGGTTTAGGGTTTAGGGTTGGTAATATAGGGGTCGGAATAGTTACTAATCATATTCGCTTCTGGTCCCTTTACAATTGCATTAGAATAGCCCCCCCCCACCCAAAAAAAAAAACCCCAAAACCCTATTCTAACTATTCAGGCGCCTACATCGGCCCATTCAAGCCCTCAGCGAACATCATGTTCGGATTGCAACTTTTGTGTAGTTGTAAACGCTTCCGCGCGCCGCCTCGGCA